GTCTGCAGACGGGAAGTGGCAAATTACGTAAAGATTTATTGTTAGCGGGCATTTTTCGTGTTCCTGCCTACTCCATCTCCCGTGATCGCGTGCTCTGGACTCTCGGGCCCTCACATCTGAACCACAGATCCACTGCAGATTTATCGCTGAGATTGTATCGCGGAGGAGCGGACCGGTAAGCCGGTGGTGGGAGGAGGGAGACTGGGAGGAGTTCATGTCCCGTCCGTTGACCTGGGACGTCACACCGGGACGGGGCTGGCTGGCGTCCCTTTCATCTCTGCGTCTTGCGTGGTCCAGGAAAGAGATACACTGTTGCTAAGAGGGAACATTGTCGCTCATTCGCCGCTTCTATTGATATGAGCCTGATTTAGATTGCAAAAAAAAAAAACGTATTCTTACTCTGAATTACGCGGGTTCTCTGAACAAACACGCATTATCTCACTCCTAAATTGCCGTGCAATGTTGATCAAATTTGCAGCCACTCTCGTGAAGTCGTGCTGTATGCTCCACTGCAGAACATTGCGGCTGTCTTGGCGGTGTATTACGTCACTCTGACGTCACCTATGCTCCCAGACAGACAGCTGGCGTTCTGAGTCAGTTTCCTCTGGGCTGACGCCGGCTGTGTAAATGTGCCAATCACGTCTCACACTTCCCTGTACTCGTGATCAGGCGGAGAAGCGGGTCTCGGTCCGCCCCGCCACCGGAGCTGGCACACGCACCTGAGTGGTGCACCAGAAGGGCACCAGGTCACCAGTCAGCAGGGCACCAGGTCAACCCGTCAGACTGACCACTACCGCTCAGTGGTGTTTTCTTTTCGAAAAGGAGTGCTTCTTTCCTGCATCAAGTGTTGGTTGCTAAGCAGTGAATATAAGCGGAATGATATCGCTGTGGATGTTTCAAGTTTCAGTCATCTGGATCTTAGTGGTTGCACCGGAACGCAATTCTGAAGAGTGAGGCTTTTTCTGGACAGTTTGGTTTTGCCCTCACCCTTGGAGACCATTGCATGTTTTATCATCACTCGCACACTCTCCAATCTCACACAAACACAATTCAGATTTCTGATACGACGCGGTTGACCGTCTTTGGTCATACGCCGTAACGCCCACTCATACGCCGAGATAAAATACACGTGTACCCAAGCCCGCCCCGCCGCTCAGCTGATCAGCTGCACGTGCATGTGGGCACAGCTGGTAGAACGGTCAGTGATTGGTGTGAATTATGACCTCGCGATGACAGACGTCCGATCGACCTGCGCGTGGTCGGGGCTTCTCAGAGTAAGATGAGACATCGGACGAGGAAATGGATCAGATTTCTGGCGCAGAGAGACAAGACGAGGGGATGGATATTCGAGTCAGACGCGAAACGGAAGGCGGTGAAACACGGTTCAGGCTGGCGATGAGAGCGTCGGAGGTTCGGATTTCGCAGAGAACCACGTGCGAGCTGACATATTGATGAGGACAGGATGGATTTCCAGATATGTTGGCAAATGGCAACAGTTCCTAACGGAATTAAACCAAGTATCTCCCTTGACCTGCTGTTGACGTGTGGAGACGTATGGAGATGACTTTTGACTTCTGATGTAGGTACGACTGTTGTCACACGTGTACAATCAGTGCCAACGTCATACTGATCAGAATGTATAAATATGCAGAGAACCACATGCGAGCTGACATATTGATGCTGGCATTTGTCTGTCATGTAAGCAAGTGCACATTTTGGACCGCCGTTATCAGCATCACGCTGTTGACTTGAAAACTTATCCTCTGTTGGGCCGGGAAGTTTGATTTGCCTAATGTGTTGATCGCATGTCCACATCACTCAGCATGAGGCGCAAATAGGGCGTCATTGGCAAACGACCCAGTCTTTTGCAGAGCATTTGCAGAACGGTGTAGAAAGAAGAACGTTCATACTTCGTTAGCTGGTAAATAGTAAATGATTTGCGAAATTACGCACTTTCTGCCTTTGGAAGGTTCGTTTACATTTATGCCACTAAATCTATGTAATAAGCAAGCTTACGGAAGCAATCTGCTAGTTTTTGTGCTGATATCTTCCGTCACCTTATCTCACCTATCAGCTCATCTGTTCATTCATTCACTGCATCCTGTTCTCCTTCGGTTCTCATTCTTCCGTTGTTCCGATTGCTTGGCATGACAGCTGGTGCCACTCCACCCTGCCTCAACCCCTGACCTAATACCACTTCCAGCTGCCACCCGTAGCCTCCACCCTTCCTGGCCCTCTAATCAGGTACGATCTCTGACCTCACGTCATCTCCTTTCTGCGTTCAGTCGGTGATGCGCCGCTGACCGCCTCGCTCCCTCCCTCGTATCCGAGTTTGTCGCCGCAGCACCCCGACCGCCGCCCCTCAGCCGCGCCACAAGAAACGCTAATGTGACGCGTGGCGCATACAAACCGGCGCGGCGACGCACGAGTGCGACGTTTGTTTCCCGTGGCCGGCGGCGCCTTAGGTGCCGGCTCGGCACGGGGCGCCCTTCACCCAGAACCGGCGCACTGGTCAGTTTTTGCCACTGTGTGCAGTGTCGCCAACAGATTGAAATCACGGCGGTGATCCTGACCTGACCCGGCCGGCATTGACGGGCTGCACCTGCCTCGAACGCAGAGCGCTGCTGCTCACGAAAGGACGAGCATACAATTACCACGGGGCCGAGGACACAAACACTGCCCGGGTGCTGTAATGGGACCGCGACAGGGATGTCACGTGTTTGTGACCGTCACAGGGTGTCCCCGTGTCACGTGTCGCGTGACGCAGCCGAGGACGTGACGTGACGCGGCAGACGACGTGACGTGACGCACCTCGGTGACGGCCGGTGTCACGGCCGGCGTGACCCTCGTCCGACGCGCTGATTACCTGCACGGACCTAGGCGTGTTTGTGCGACATAGGCATGTTGTTACACGACAGACTAGTTTTGATATTATGGGGATTGAGGGAGAGAGAGAGTGTGTGTGGGGCTAGTGAGGCGAGACAAAAGAGGGACAATAGTAAGTGGGAGCTCTTGGGCGTGGCTCGCACTTCTATCTTATTATCTATATTACTATTTGAGGAGGGTGCGTCTGTCCGTTACCGAGATCCCAACTTGGTGGTGCTTTGCGTGGACTACAGGCCAGACCGTTGCACCTAGCCCGGTGAAATTTGCACAACTTATAGATCAAGGATGCGCGACGTGCCTTTGAGGGGTCTCAGCTCGATCGGATTGATAGGGAGCGCGTGGCGCGTGCTCAAAAAGTGCAAATTCGCGTCATAGACTTTACATGTATAAATCGGGCGAAAACGGCTAATTTTGGCCGACACGGGTCCAGTTCCCGTGCAATATCTTGGTGACCAGGGGTCCGACCGGCACGGGGAAAACAGCATCGTGTACAGAATTGAACGGGCTATTGAATGGTGTGCAATGCAGAAGATAGCACGCGCCACGTGCACCGGAGAGGGCACTTTTATTTGAAAAATTGCGGTTTTTGAGGGATTTTGGAATTAATTTTATTTTTAGGTGACCGTTAAATGGAGCGAGTTGAATCAACGCCTATTTGCAAGAGAAAGGTACCGCCTCTCATATAAAAATTGTGAAAAGCTGATTGATCCAAATCAAGATGGTGCAAATCACAGGAGAAAATGGTGTTTGTCAATTTTGTGCCACTTTATTAATCACACGGGGTTTGCTGCATAACCTGATACCTTTGGCAATTGAATATGGTACCATTGGATAGAACATTCAATTCTGTCCAATATTCACTCTTCATTTTTGCATGATTAGCAACAGTATCCTTAAAAAATGTAAATGTTCCAAACCATTACATTGTCATTTTTAGCGAAAGTCATCGATGGCCCTCAAAAGACTTCACGCCAGTTTTCGAATCATTCTAAGGTAGAACGCATGATAATACGACACGGGCACCTCGATGCGATGTATCTTTTTGTTTTCTTACAAAATGCTTGGCAGTCAAAAAGCAATCGAACGAAATGGATATCTACCAACCAAATCGACACAGACCAACCCAATACCCACGGGTCAAAAAAATCCCCCCTTCGCGTTGCGGAGCACGCAGGTAATCCTAGTGCACTGCTATTTTTGAAGCTACCTGAACTTCACTGTCGAGACCTGTCACATGATATACATGATTCCGTATGTACAAGAGCAGCTGGCGAGCGTCCCTGAGACTGTGCAAGATACCGGATAGCCAAATGAAGGGCAGCTGGTTTGTGAGCAGTTTCCGTTGATCTCGGCAGGGCGCGGTCTGCGCGGGTGTGCCGAAGGGCGCCGACAGGGAGGGAGGGACTGCCGTCCGCGGATTCGAAGGCCGGCCGTTGGAGCCGAGGAGTGTCTCCGTTTGAAGTTTGCTGGTGATGTCAGCCTATCAGTGTCCGGGGTGTGTGGTCTGGCAGCTGTCGCCCCCGCCCCCGCCCCCGCCCCCGCCCCGTCCGCTGACCGTTTCGTGTCCCTTGCTGGGAGACAGGGTGGCAGGAAATTCCAGCAGCACCGGTATATACGGTTCACAGAGGTGGGCGGCGGGGACAAAACGGCTGCAGGTTTTATCATGCACTGCTCAGTGGAGACACAACAGACCGGTCAGACGTGTCCGAACGGAGAGCGCATGCCTGAAGAGGGCTGAGCTATCGCCTGTTGTAATACATTTCCAAAATATTGAGGGTTATTGAACCTGAAATGCGCTAACATCGTGATGTTGGCATTCCGGAAGAAAAATGTGTTCAGCAAATAAAAATGTGCCGGGCAAATAAAAAAAGCAATAAAAAAAGCAATAAAAAATGTGCCGGGCATACGGTCTTCAGAACACCGAATTGAACAATTTATTTTTGGTTGTGAAAATACGCTCATCCTAATGCAAGGAAAAATACTTACCTTCCTCGAATTAACCCCATCTGACCTGACTTGAATTGAACCGACTACTGGTTACTCCGTGACCCACCCGAGTCAATCCGATATAATCCCACCTGACCTGACCAACCACTCTTCTGTTCTGTTTTCAGCTTTCGGACGCTACACTGCAGATCTACCGAGACGGCGAGCTGGGCAGCTACCTGGACCCCGAGCTGTCCATCAACGAACAGCATGACGAGTTCGAGGGCTTCGTCGACAAGTGAGTACCGACTCCCCTGACCCTCTCCGTGGCCCTGTCCGCCCTGCGGCTGTCAGTTTCTATCCAGAACACTCCCGTGTTGACAGGCACACATACAGTGAGCGCTCTACCGGCTCCGCCCAGTCTCTTCAACAGGCTCCGCCCTGCGGGTCAGCATGTCACTCCACCCATGGCACTCACAGCCTCTTGTGGAGAGTGGCTCTTCATCGTTCACGGACTCACCAACGCTCTTCCTACAGTCATTCATGCTGAGGCTGGATGGCTTGTGTGATTGGTATCAGTGGCGGATCGGGGGGGGGGGCAAAATGGGCATTTGCCCCTCCCAAACGGCATAATTTTAACATTACGCCTATGGACGAGGCATAGAAAGAATCGATAAATTGTTATGGTTTGCCCCCCCCCCCCCCCACAAAAAACTCTGAGCTGGATCCGCCTCTGATTGGTATAGTCCCCGAGGAGTTCTCTGTTAGAATTCTACTGGCAATCCGGAGTTCGCGGCCGTTCGTTTAACCTCGGCGCTCCACAAACGATGTTGAATCAGGACACAAATTATCAATGATAGGGCTATCATTTCACCCCCAACTGCGTGTGTTTGGAGACCGACGCAACAAAAATATCCGGTGCGTTCGGAGGCGTAAATCAGCTCCCAGCAGATCTTCGATGATCGGTTATGGTTGGAAAGAGCGCTTAAATTCCAACGATTCCGGTTTACATGTGTCTTAATCAAAGAAAATCCGTTCTCATTTTGTAATTCGATTTCGTTTTGTTTATGAAAGCCCAGACCAGGTTTGTATTTACCCCGACCTAATTTCATAAGTTCACAAAGTTCAGAAGTTCACTCAAAGTTCACTCAAAGCAACTCATATCTCGTCCACACCGCACACGTGTCCACCACCCAGCGCGATAGTTCGAACCCGGAACAGCGCCCGCCCAGTTCTCTGTCCGTCTAGTGTCGCCGGACCGTCTGTCCCTGCACACGCTGTCTGGAGAGGAGCCCAGTTGGCAGTCGGCCGTGTCGCCGGCGCCACGACAACCGGACAGGCTGGCAGCGGTCAGACATGTATTTGCGCACGGTCACGTGACTGGCGACAGTGATCACTGGGGACGATGCGATCGGTCACGTGGGCATTTGATAACGAACGTCATAGCTTTATTTGTCATTGACTGTTTTATTCTACGATTATTTATTGATCGGACACACTAGCAAATAAATTGGAGCTTCTTCCCTATAGCCAGCGCTCATTGGAGGCGTCGGCTTTTTATTCGGGACTCCCAGCTTCCGGGCACGAATTGGCCACTGACAGGCACAATTCACATGATGCTTGCATCATAAAACAACCGCAGGTTATGTGGAGCGCTCTCGTTTGTGCCCGTCCCCGCTCAGAATTCCGCCCACCCAGCACTGGCTGTGTCATTTCCCACGGGTTCCGTCTCACAGCTGTGACTGCCGTGGTGGATCACTGTATACTGAACAGTCACTGCCGGGAGTTTAGACTGCCCCAGTCCAGTGCAGAGTCCAGGAAGGCAGGAGTTCCCCGCTAATGACGTCGTTAAATAACCACCGTCATCTTTACTGTCGGCCGCCGTGGGTTAGCTCAAACCACTGTCGGTCACTGTTGAATCACTGTCGGTCACTGTTAGTCACTGTTGACCGCGGACGTAAGCCTACACCGCCAGTGGACGGCGCCGTCTCCCACAGGAAATAGAAAGCCTCCGCTCAGTCTGCTGCCGGTGCGCTCGCAGTGCGCGTCTCGCCTCTCTGAACACGATGATTGCAAACGGACTGCGCAATCACAACTGTAGGCGAAATAGCTCCGTTCGAACTCATGAGACGACTTCGAAAGCTGAAAAGAAAAGGCGAAGTACACTTCAGTGGGAAATAAGGCGGAGCGAAATGCAAACCAGCATAATTTCGTGACGCTCTATTGATGGGGAATCTGATAACGTTTTATAATTGTTGGGCTGATATAGGAATATTTCAGGGAGATTTTAAAAGGAAATCCTTAAAATGATTAGTTCCTTTCTACTTCCACATGTAAAGAAATACCCCCATCCTCCTTTCCCCTCCGGCCTTGTGCCTAGGACTTGCCGCTCTCTGTCTTTCCCCACTCGTTCATTCGTCTCATTTCTCTCTCTCTCTCTCTCTCTCTCTCTCTCTCTCTCTCTCTCTCTCTCTCTCTCTCTCTCTCTCTCTCTCTCTCTCTCTCTCTCTCTCTCTCTCTCTCTCTCTCTCTCTCTCTCTCTCTCTCTCTCTCTCTCTCTCCCAGCCCTCTCTCCCTCCCATAAGCGTAGGAACCATGGGTGCAAGGGTGCAGCTGCACCCATAATATTTTTCCAGTGGGTGCAGACAATGTATTCTGCACCCACAATAATCTGAACCAAAAACCCCTTTTCTCATCAACACTACTTCCCATGCAGCACGGATAAATTCAGGATATGTTGCCTTATGCCTACTATCCATCTTTCGAAGCATTTCCTACTGTGATGTCTTCAAAACTTACATTTGTGCTGAAGAAAAAAGGGAAATGGAGCATGTGATTGAACACATACCGAACCGATGACCCACTGTCAAAATTTTTAGCCCGATATATTCGAAAATGGCTAAGTTGGCCGCTTTTACTTTTTGCGGTAGTCAATATTGACAATATTAACCCTCGCATGTGTGTGGCCTCTTCCAGCTTCTAATGTGTAGGGGGAGGGGGGGTCGGTCGGACCCCCCTGCCGTTCGGCCCCTGATCGAGCTAGAGCTTTGCGGAAAAAACGAGGGTGCTGCCCGTGACGAGAGGAAGCCGGTGATACCCAATTTTAAGGTCCTAGGTCATTGGTTGACCTTCCAGGTCAGGTCAATATTCCAAAGGTCGGGGAAATCAGGATCTGCTAGAACTGCGTAAAGTGAATCTGTTATCGGTTTTTTGGGGTGCTGATCACGAATATCTGATGCTAATTTTGATCACAGATGATTCCTTCATGCATTTAGGCCAGATCGGGTCAGGTCAGGTCAGGTCAACCATTAGGCGTTCTACCGGCTATCCATAGTAGGTGTCAACTACCACTGACGGCGTCGTAGCATGTTACGAAGGCACTAAAACTACTTCGTAAACGTTCAAAATGATGCTCAATCCGAAATTCGCCCGAAAAACTACCCTAGAAACATGTAAGAAAAAGTGAGCCGAGGTCATCAAAGGTCAATGACCTGACCTGACCTTCAGGTGACCTTCATACCCACCATGATGCATGGGACGAACATCATTTCACATGTTTGGACGTCTACAATCACAAAAAGACTGGAAACGCGCGGATAATGTGAGCTCTGACATACGCCAAATCGCGATTCCGGCCGAACATGGTCTCGAGAACCAGGTCACAGGTCAAAGGTCTTTTGGGTCAGGGTCATGAAATTTTCAGAGTAGGTGTAAAACTGATCAACTCGAGGGTACTAAAAGTGTCGTCGCGATCGGCCGCTTTTTGCGCGAGTTATTTGCGAAAAACCATGGGAGGGGGTTCATCTGACCCCCTACACACGCAAGGGTCAATGCTTCCAAATGCACTTATCGGTCGGTACCTTTTCGACATGGTACACCCTCAAAACTCGTAACGAGCCTTCGCTCGGGTGTCGCTTCCTACCCCCCCCCATCCCCGCTTCACCGGCCATGGCTAGATTTCTGCACCCATGCACCCACAATGTTCCAGCCGTTCCTACGCCCATGCTCCCTCCGACCCTATTCCTCCGGCCCTCTCTTCTGTCCAGTCTGGTCATCATGATCAAGGCCATGACAGGCACGAACAGTGGCTCATTAGCCGCTAAATGGGCGCCGGCGGGATACGATTACAGATAACGAAGACGGCAATAAGAGGGCCTGTGTGTCCAGCAGCTTTGAATGCATTAGCCGTCTTGGTAGTGATATCGTGCGTTTGTTTTTACTGAATGGGGCTGTCTAGCAGTAGCAACCCTAAATAAATTGAATGGCAAGGGCTAAAACCGAGGATCGATCCCGTTACTAAATGGATTTAGGGGCACCCCCGTAAAGAAAGAAAGTGGCTGATGTTGTAGACAACACAATACACACTATACAATACACATGAGTGTTTATATCATGTTTTTAGTTCATTGTATTCTTCTTACGACACTACGCCATGATGAAAAGAAGCCAGATCTTTCAACGTTTACCTGCGCGGCGCAATTGCTCGCCATGACGCCATTCCCCGTCGATGGATTTTCCATGACCTGCCCTGTCGATCGCGCTCCCCCTGTGTGTATTCGCTCACGGCTTCTCAGCTCGACCTCCCGGCCGGCAGCCCAGCCAAATATTTACCGGGCGCCCCGGGCTGGTCCAGGGTCTCTCCGGCTTACCATGCGCGTCGCTGGGCACCTGAAGCTGCCCTGACCCGACCCGGGGGTCAGCGCCGCGCCGGCGGGGGTCCCGCCCGGGAGTAAAGCGCTGCAGCTGGGGTCACGGGACGGTCCAGTGAGGGCCAGCCGGTCAGTGGCGTGGATAGACTACGTGCACGGTTTGGACTGACTTATTAGCGGCCCGCATCGCTCAACAATGCGATGGTGAGCTGGGTAGTGTAAACTCAGCGCTGATTTTTAATGGCATGAATATCATTTGGCATGAAAATAATTCGCGGTGTTTACATTATTGCGGTCGGTTGCATTGCAGGATTGCGCTGATATCACAACATTTATTTATTTGTTTGATATGCCTGAGCTATCAACTTTCGTAATATCAGTGCATATTTGTACATTGTTCCAAACGTGATTCTCTTGGCGGTGTCGGATACATACCAAGACGCTGACGGCTGTACCTTTCTCTGTCGCTCATGACACAACATCCTGGTATGTTCTCCATTTAACAGCTCAGCCCTGAAATAAGGCGATTTGGGAGTCACGAGCGGATTTTTCACCGATTTTAAAGTGTCTCTCCGCCAGTTCCGGCTAGCTCTAACATCCGCGGCGTTTGGATAAATTGATCGCTGCCAGAGACGACTATAAGCGTAAG